CACAGAAACAGGGCAAATTTCAATCAGGAAAGTTTGAATAACTCTGTAAACATGCAGAGTTAGAGAAAACATTGGAGATGCTGGTGCTGTCATTCATATTGAATCACATCCTGCCATGACAGCTGTATAACTCTATCCTTAATATAAACTAATGATACTGCAGACTGAGTTGTGTTGGAACAGATGTCACTTTGCGGTTGGATCTTGCAGAAATAGTTTCTACAGGTTGTTTAGTGAATTGTCTAAATCAGCTGGAGTATTTGAAGGAATAAGAAAAAAAGAAAAACAGTTCCAGATTCATCCCTTTAGGTCGATTCAGAGAAATGTGAAGTGTGATGTTGTTACTACGATGTAGAAAACCTTGAGAAGCTCAAGGCTGCTGGTGATGAGCAGCTATTGTGCTGCTGTGATACTCTTGGAACAGATTCCGTCATACTCTGCCTTTTCTTTCTCTTTGAGGACACTTTACAGTGTGTCTCATCTTCCCTCTTTTTATAACTGCCACACAAGCACTCAGAGATGGAAATGTGGCTGTAAACAACACTTAAATCTATGTAGATACACACACACACACCAATACATAAGTACTCACCCTACTTGGGGCCCCCTCTGGGTCGAGGCAGGGGATAGCAACACAGAGAAAATAAGATTTACAGAGAAAAGAGAAAACATTAGTGCTAATAGTCACAACAACAGCAAAACAGAGTCAGCCAATATTGAGAAAAATCATGAGTTCACCCCTACAATACATTTATAGACCTATTTTTGTGCCTTACACCAATGTCCTTCCCCTTTCTGCTCTAAAGCTCATCGGTTTGCCCTCCTGCTTCTCTCTAATATGCATTAGTTACTGTATAAATACTTAACCTGAAAACATGGGAAATAAAGGTATTTTCATAGTTTTGAGTTCTATTCATTATTTCTGTCCTTTCTTCAGCCGGGATCCGTCTTTTTATTCATGAGGAAGAATCTTGGCTCAGTGCCTGAAACTCAGTATGAAAATCAGATATTCTATCGGGGGGTGGATCAGAGTTCAGGAGGAATAGGAATTTATTTTGCATCTACACAAGCTTCATGAATGCATCAGTCTAGTTTACTGCACAAATTTAAACAGCAAAGTTTAAATTGAGTCCAAAAGGCGATCATGTCAAAAAATAAAAAAGGGAAATGCTGCCGGTCAGAAATAATGTGTGCTCTTTTGCATTTTATCTGCTGTCTAAAGATAACACAGAAGTATGAATTATGGCAACATCTTAGAGGATACAAACAACAAGGAAATAATGAAAACGAACACAAAAGAAGACGAATGTAGACCTCACACAGCAGGACGCTGTTAACAGGGTTAATGATGAATAGGACTATCACTAGAAGTGTTCAATAAGGCTGTGTTAAAAAAAAAAAGAAGGAACCCCTTTTTATTAAAATTCTTTATCAATATTAAATTCTATTGAACCTTCTTTACTAAATATCTGTAACCCTTTTAATGAATATTCACATATTATTTTAAGTTAACCGTTTAAATGTTAGGCTGCACGGAGGCAGAGTTTGTAACATTCCTGGATTTGATAAATGGCCTGGAGTATTTTTGCATATTGCTTCAGCAAAAACATGACTGTTAGGTCGATTGGCATTTACACATTGTCTTAAGGTGTGACTGTGTATGCAGGGTTTTTTGTCTCTGTGTTGCCCTCTGATTGACTGGCATACTGTCCAGGGTGTACCCCACCTTTCACCCATAGACTGCTATAGATATGTAGCAACCCCCCATAACAAGTGGTAAAAGATGGATGGATTATTCAATATTTATAGAAAATAGTGTTCATTATTTTCAGCTAATCAGTGAAAAGAATGTGCAACTTTTTTACCTCTGAGATGTTCTTGATCAAGATGATTTCGCTCATCTTTAGAAGCAAGGTGAGCGGACACCCCTAGGGCTCCAGTCAATGCCAAAAGTCCTGAGCTCCCTGCACCCAGGGACAAGCCTGATGGGTGTGGCGTCAGGGGAATGCCGGGGGCGTGGTGAGACAGGTGCTGGAGCTGCTGCTGCTGTGGCCACAGGGAAAAAAGAGAATAGGGGCAGGAGGCAATATGAAAGAGATTAGAAACGTATGAATTTGTAAAGAGAACAAGAGCAAAAAAACAACAACGTTAAGACGGAAGAAAATTGGTTACAGAAAATTTTAAGAGAAGCTAGTGGACGTGAGAAAAGGAGAAGGTGAATGTGATTAAATTACAATCAGAGAGGAAATTTGGAAAATGATAGGAAGATGATTTAAAAAAGGACAGCAAGGAGTAGAAAAAGGAGAGGAAATTAAAGAAACACCACAAGAGGAAATAAAAGCGACTGATCATCAAATCACTAAGGGGAAGAAAATAGATTACAAGAAAGAGTTGGTAAAAAGTGTAAAATATTAAGGCAGTCTGATTTATTATAAGAGAAAAGTCAGCAGAGAGAATATAAAAAAAATGGTTAGTGGAAAACAAAGAGGATAAAGAGGAGAGGGAAATACTTGAGTTTCTGAGCAAAAAAAAGCAAAACAGAGTGAATTCATAAAGGCAGTGAAGAGGGAAGACCGACAAAAGAAGGAGCTAATAAGTTCAGGAAGAAAGGAGGAAAAGTTTAGAGCACAAAGAGCAAACAAATGAGAGAAAAGGATAGGGGAGGAAAAGAGGACACAGTCAAAATAAGAAGGAAATGATCTAAGATTATGTGGTGGGCTGGATGGGAAAATCCAGACAGAAAATGAACACAGATGGCAAAAAAAGAGACTATGAAAGAGAGAGTGGAGAGCAAAGGAGCAGCCACAGATAAAGCAAGGCTATTATCCTGAGGGAGGCATTAAAATGCGTTTTCATGTGTTGTTTTCTCAATCCAGCACATTAGATGCACACACACACACACACCCCAACACACACACTTTAGAGACAGCAGTGTTTGTAGAGCTGTAAGGAACAAAGGAGCTTTAAGTAGACAGTAAAGTGATCATAGCCCTGACAAGCTGCAGAAAGCCCTATCTACTGCAGCACTCAGGACATCAGTGCTTTAATGTGAGACCATACATAGAAGGTACCACAGTACCAGTAGAGCAGACTTTGTTTCTCCATTCGATAAAATTCAATATTTACTATATTGTTCTTTTTAAAATTGTGTTGATTTAAAGAATTAGTTTTAAAAGAAATATGGTAGCAGAACTGAGGAGGAAAAAACTAAGTTGTAATTAAGGCAGTGATCACTTTTGTTCTGCTGAAAGGTCTGTTTAGTACAATTGATGCTCTTTATTATAAGACTTAATATCATTAAGAGCTGACTGGTATGGCAAAAACTTTTATTTGTTTTTTCTCTTCAACAGGGCAGCAAATTGTCTATTAGTTTTTCTTAATTACTGGCATGCTTTCAAAGACTTGCAGCATTCAGCAATACCATTATTGCTATCCAGCTCTTATTTTACACATTCAACATTACTGTCCCAAAGAGCTGGATCTGCAGAAAGTGAAATACTTTAAGGTTTCCTTAAATTACCTTATGTGGAAAAAAACCCAAACATGAATAACTTTATATATATATATATATATATATATATATATATATACACATAAAAGTTCTTATCTGGATCAGTGGTCTTCATAGTTAATCTTGGGTTGCTTAAAGAGTATATAGGTGTGTTTGATGATTGGATGTCACTCACCCCAATAATGGCATTTAGTTCTGCCATGGTGACCTGTTTGGCCCTCTCCACTGCTTGGACCACCTGTTGTTGGTGCTAAAAACAAACACACAAAAACAGAAAAACTGAAACAGAGAATATTAAATCACTTATACACAAAATTGTAATATAGCATAGCTAAGCTAACCTTTATTAGATATAATAATATGCCTTACAAAAGAAAGTTATAATGGAGTTATATGATATATTAATGTCACATTAAAACTACAAACCTTATTGTATTTATTAGAATGGTATGACTGAAATTGTGATTTGGAAGGAAAAGATACATACTTTCCAATTTTTTCTTTGTCATCTGCAAGTAAAAGTAAGACGTGTCCTTCCATTTAGTCCGCCTGTCCTTTAAAAAACCCTAAATCCGATCCAGTTCAACCAATGCCATCAGAAATCCTCTGACTTGTAAACAGAGTCGCCCTCTCTGGAATATAATATCTGTTCTGTAAAGGCCTGAGAGGTTTTACAGAATAGTGGTGAAAAGATATTAATACCAAAGGTACAAGTCTGGGTAAGGATTAACAGCAGTTTGACAGAATGGATAGTGTCCTGTCTAATGGTAGTTTTTAGTAAGTTCAAATTTGTTTTATTTGACCGGACTTCATCATCATGCTTCCTGCTAATGGAAAATTAAAAACTGGACTTTCTTATGGCTTTCTTTCAAATAGCTATCCTCTTACTAAACTTTAATAAAGGCTAAATTTGCAGAGCGCACAGTTTTCCTGTCGACTGGTTCTCCCACATGATCTGTGGAGTTCGGCAGTTCCTCCAAAATCCCATCGTGGTAGCTTCCCTAATTGATGCTCTTCTTTCACTTTTCATCAGATAAGAGGGAGGTCCATTTCCTTGGAGGTTTTCAACTGTACTCTTTGCATTGTTTGATACTGGATTAAAAAGTACTCCATCTGCTCAAAGCATTGGATAGTACTTTATAACCTAAATATGCTTCAATAATCTTTACAACTTTCACTTTGAAATGTCCAGTTTGCTCCATAGACTTGGAGTTGTGTGTTCGAATTCTGTAGGCGACCAGTTACAGTAGGCCTCATGCAAGAACTGTTCGTATGAACAAATTTGTTCTTGAATCGTTCATACCAGCGATTTAGGGAAAAAATGTTGCATTCACCCTTTGCTTTGTTATTACACTAAATGTGGAACATTTGGGTTTAGGTCGGTCTGACTTTGTTAAATCAGACGTTAAATTTTATGTATGATTATGCGTTGTGAGAGATATAAAGAGTACGATGAAGGCAATGGCAGACGTGGTCTGGAGATATACAGTACACCTGTTTCTTTGTGTATTAAAAGGAGATTTATCTGAACATTGTTTTGCAATGGGTGAACACACAGGTGAACTATCACCTGTGTGTTCATTCACAGAGGCGCAGACTTATAATGAATAAAGGAGCGGTAATTATGCAGATTTACATTTAGTACTGCATCATGTTGTGAGGAATATTTATGATAATTTACTGTTAAGAACATTTGTTAAATCTCAAGTTATGCTTTTGTAAAAGCCCACGGTAGGACAAAATTTAAGAGAAATTTCTGACAAAAAAAAATGTTTTTGCCCAGTGTCTTTTTTTTATTAATGTCTGTAGAGGAGGACTGAATATCATTGTATTTGGCATTTTTCAGATTTTCTTTTCCTCCTTCAGCATGCTAGACAATTGCAAAAAATGCAATTAAATGCACATATGTGTCTAGTTGTTACAAAATAAAATGTAAAAGGACACATTTGCAAGAAACTAGATAACTAATTTATGAAAGAGTAATGTTGTGAATATTTCACACCCAAACTGACCACTTAAATGTGCAAAGTAAACAGCAGAGTTACTAAAAAATCTAGGGCTGCAACTAACGATTATTTAGCAAATCGATTAATCCGTCAATAATTTTTTTTGATTAATAGATTAATAATCAGATAAGAAAAAGGTTACTTAGAGAAGAGTTTTTATGAAATTAAACCAGATGAAACTCATACTTTTCCACTTGAGGAGTTCTGGATAGAGCATATTGACAGACGAATTTTATTTTTTTTTATCTTAAATGTGAAATGTTTATATTTTTTTTTACAATGTTAGTATAGTTACTGCTTTAAGTGGGTCACTATGTCAGCTAAAGGCATGGAGAGTCTTTATATTTCATTTAACGATTAACCAATAACTAATAATAAATAATAATAACTAATTGGATTAATCCAATTCTTTCAGACCTTAAAAAACCCCAAAACAAATTCACAAAAAAGCTACGATCATAACTCTCTTTTTGAATCATCCCTGTATAATCAGTTACACAAATGCAAACATGCGCGTGTCTGACGAAGCCAGAGAGTACACACCTGAAGAAACACAGATTCAATATTGTTCAAACTGACAGAGCTTTAACCTTGCTGTCCCTAGGTAGCACATTCATCAGAGCTCCCTCACTTTCAGAGACAAACACAGGAGCCTGCAGGGTTTCGCTCACACAATCAAAGCATCACGCACACTTACACCGGGAGGTGATAGATGGGATCACAATTCTCAAAAAAGAGACATAATAAGACAACCCCAAGGAGCCTTTAAGAAATTACAGTACTCGATTTGCAAATCACAAGATGTAATTTTTTTGAAAACAATACACTAATCTTAACGTCAGCTTGTCTTTGTCACAAAAACCTTAATAGCTGGCTCCAAAGCCAAGGCTTTCTGTCATTTCCCTCAGATGTAGCATTGTAATCAGTGGGCCACATATGAAGCATCAGCTATGGTGGTCTTTTTGGCTCAAAGAGTTGCCTTTGATCATGAAAAGAACTGAACGTGCCATTTGCCATAGAAGCAAACTGTGATTAGAACTGAGACATACTGGCTTACAAAAGTGTTCCCATCCCCTGAGCATTTTCGCATTTGTTCATATCCCAACTGAGGGTAATGTTTTAACTGTGATTTTAGGTCATAGGCCTGGATAATTAAGGCAATAATTGTAATGCTGACGGAAAAAAAATATATACGGTTTTTTTCACATGAAAAAGTTTGAGGAAATACAGCTGGTCTGTGAAGGACTCCGAAGTGTTTTTAGAGAACATCAGTGTGTAAACAGGATCATGGAGACCAATAAAGACATCCAATAGATCAGGGAAAAGGGTGCTGAAATTTTTTGAGTAGGTTTAATGTTATAAATACTCATATCTACCAAAAATAGAAAGTATTATATGAGAAAACCTACAGAAAGTGGAGCTTTGTTTGTTGCCCACTCCACATATCTGGCCTATACAGAAAAGTGGCAGTAAAAAAAATCTGTGGTTTATAAAAAGACGAGCATTTTCAAATAAAAACAGTACAGGGCAAATAACAAATGTGTTTAAGGAGGTTGTCTGGTCAGATTAAACAAAAAAAAATGAACTTTTAACCTTAACAATAAGTGGTGCAAACATTGAAATTCACACCTAAAACACCACCAAAGTACAATACTAAGGTGGCTGTACCATGCCTTTCTTCAGCAGTGATAGGTTAACTTGTTAGGGTTGATGGGAATGTAGATAAACTTGAAACAGGGAAACACTGAAATAAAACCAGATAGAGATAACAGGAGGTCTGAGCTGCAGTAGCTGCTACAGACCAAAGCATTTTCATTTATTAGAATAACCCAGTCAGAGTCTAGACCAGGGTTTGTAACCTCCAAAGCCACATGTGGCCCTTCAATTGCTCTTAATAGTGGCTAAAAATGAAATAATAAAGAACTAATGCACTATAATAACAAATACCAGTCTTAGGAGTTGTAGTGTTTTATAAGGAATATTTGAAATGAATTTTCACAGCAGAGTGACTTTCAAAGAATAGGAAACATGCTTTTAGAGCTATTTTTCAAAGAATAGGAAACATGCTTTTAGAGCTATTTTTCTTTAAATTACCTTGGCAATGCTTTGTTTTTTTATAATATGTTTTTACATCAAATAATTATCTATAGAAGAAAGTGCACTGTGCATATTTTGTGGCTCTAAACCACTTTTATTTAGCCGGAAAAAGGACAACAATTGCTCTTTGGATAGAAAAGGTTGCAGACTCCTGATCTAAGACCTTCATCCATTCAACATTCGGACCAGACATCCTTCATCTAAAATGAAAGAGCTGGAGCTAGGTCAAAAGTCGGTAGAGACATACCCCAAAGGACTTCCAGCTATATTGCAGAAAAGGTGGCTTTGCAAAGCACTGACTCAGTAACCTGGCAGTAGCCAGATTGATATGTGTAGAACTGAGTTGAGTTCTATGTTATCAATCTGGGTTGTTTAGTACAATACTTCGAGCTGATGGGGTGACGTCCCAGGTTAAAACCCACCTTCTATAATATGCTTTCAGCCAATCATGCAGCTTCTTGAGTGTTTTCATAACTAGCGGAGTAAGCTGATAAATCAAACTTTTCCCATTGGAAGAAAAGCACAGACATCTTTCCCATCTACAAATGCACAAACTTTATCTCTTTGCTCCTTTTTAGACAAGAAATTGTCACTATTTTAGCTAAAACTGAGTCAATTGCGGTATCGACAGGTAAGTCCTCCAGCGTAGCCATGTTTGTAATGCCCCGGCAAGGCCCTTATGACTCTTGTCATTCCTACATGTCCCGCCCCAAAAACCACTGCTGGCATAGCATTGGTCCGACCCGCTGGTTTTTATGAGACGTAGCTTTTAGCGGGAGTCTTTCAAGTGGGATTTGGTCTGAGACAAACTCAGATCTTGCGACAATCCTTCTTGCAGAGCAAGGTTACTGACTCAGAGAGGCCTTACAGAAATGTACACCATACCTCCAAATGTCTATATCTAACACATTTTAGAGACCTTATATCCTTTGCCTTCCACTTCCCGTTTCTCCTTACAGCTTTGTGCTGGTCTGTTTAGGTGAAATGGCAGCATACAAAGCGACGACCTAAGTGAAGTTTGTGGTTTTGAAAGGAGGAAATATGAAAACCGCTCCATTGATATGAACAGGGTCATGTAAGTAAATATGTACTTTTTAAAAAATCTGGTTTGAAATGAAAATATCTTCTGATTGTTCAAAAATCTAACAAAAAAAGTGTGATGATGGGATTAATCAAAATATGTAACCTTCAAAAGACAATTTGATTTTGTAATTAATAAGTGTGTTCATTTTAAAATCACAGATTGTTGTGTTTACCTGATATTTAAACTAATACTGTGAACTGTTGCTCTAATTTTCTTTTTTCTTTCAATCACGAACACCAGGAGTGTGTGCAATCAACAGCATTCATTTTCTGCAGATGCAATTCACATGGCAAAGTTAATGAGCCGTGCTTTTATCAATATGCAGGCTTGCGTATTGTTTTAATGAGTATATGATGTGTATTAATAATACCTAAATTCTCTAAATTAGACCTTGTCTTCAATCACTTTCCCATTTAACATATTGTTCAACGAAAGACGCATTTACATTTCTCTGACAAAGTTACTTTAAAGTGCAAGTAGTTGAGTTTCTTTTTTTTTTGGTCATATTTTGTGTGCCTGTGTCTACAGTAAGTGTGTCTGGCAGCACTTACCTCCTGAGAGAGGAAAGGGATGATCTGAGCACAGATGGCACTGAGACGCTTGACGATCTCTGCCTGTGAAGGAGGGAGAGAGAGAAAGACAAAGAGAGAAGAGGATGTAAAATCGTGTCAAATATTGTAAAGGAGGAAGATACACAGTGAATATGAAGCAAAGCATGCACATCAACAGCACATTAAGCCTTTTGCTGCATTCAAACACTTTCTTAATGAGCTATGTGAGTTGGAAACCACTGAGAAAAACACATAAAGAGGTGTTGGAGTGAAGAACCAGGATAGAGACCACATTAAGGCACCAACTATTGTCGGGTCTTTTAGCACCTTCACACTCTCTAATGCTCACTCTAATGGAGTCCTGTCTACCTCAGCTTTCCCCTGTCTCTCACTCCTTTATCCCATATTTCAGAAAAATAGCTCAGTTATCTATTAAATTAGTTGATTAGCTATTTCTGAAAGTACTATTTTGTCTTAGTTAAACAAAATGCTGACGTTTTTAACTCCTTTTCTTACAGCTAGTTAGGTGAAATAACATTAAATCGAGGAAAATTAGAAAGTTTGGCAATCTACTAAAGCAGCGATAATCTAATGCCCTTTTTATTTTCCTCATTGATTCTTAGCTTTATGGACTAGCTGAAACGCATTTGGTTTTTATTAGATATCAGGTCAACATTTCAGAGGGTTTCATTTGATGTTTTAAGACCAATTAGTAAGGAATTAGAGATGTTGCAATATGGGTTAAAAATCAGTATGAAACTACTGGCTTCTTGATGGACGATCAAATAAAGACATTAGCTGCTTATGCAGATACAAGCAGACGGATCGGGCATTGAAGCTGAGAGATTTCAATAAGTAAACCACATGTTAAATGTAGCTGTGCTTTGTACTTTATGAATGTGAAAGAAATGCTTGAAACATATTTTTTCATGCTATGTACAGTACAAACAGTACGTGAAATAGTTTCTTGCAATGCCATAAAATGAGTAAGTTGGAAAAAAATGAATGCTGGTTTCTGCTTCTGGCTTTGTGCTGTATAATCCCTAATAGATTATTTTTTTATTCATTTGTAATTTCAATAACTAGATGAATATTTAGTTTATGTCCTAAATGGACTGTGTCTATGTCCTTTAGAATCGGATTTACAGTGAAAAAAACATCAATAGTGTCCATATAATCTGTAAAACTCCCTGCATAATTATAATAAAGTAATTTATATACCGTATATGAAACAAGCGGAACACTGTGACAATAGCCCTATTGCTCCACTTGTGAAAATAAAATCTGTTGCGCTCTTTTTGGCATCAAGACAATTATTCTTATTGCCACATTACCAGAGAGGACACTGATAAAAAAATA